CCATGGGCATCCAATCCAGACTGTGAAGTTTATGGCTGGCACTGGCCCTTGAGCTATTACGGATCAGTATATGCTACCCACTAATGCACATAGTATGTGCGCGTTTGTCACTCCGGTGACGTCACTCCGGTGACAGGGATAGTGCACGCAATTAAGGGAGGGCGGGAGGTGCTCTTCGAACTAGGTAAAATACATCATTATATTTTATTATGCAGATCTTAGCTATTTAATTTTTAACATCTTCAATACTAAATTCCTACTTATTGCTGTTGTCAAATATTAGTTTGTGCTCCGCTGCACTAAAGTATTGAGCTGCAATTAAAAGAGAGATTGCGTTGATATCTTTTTGCTGAAGTTTTTGCTTGTAAATCGACTCAATAATATTATTGTGTAACGAGGGCGATTTAATAAAAAATAAGTTCAAATTTTGAAATGGAACTTTTCCAATATTATTACTTATGTATTTTATTAATTTGCCATTTGTTTACGATTTGGCGGCAAATTGAAAATTGTCTGTGTCACGTTAGCATGAACATAAGCGAGAAAATTTTCGTACAGTGATTTTTATGACTTTCGTTGTCATTTAAGTCAACAAGTCATAATAGATTTTGATCGGCCTTTCACGATGAAACCCCATCTCGTGCCACTATTTACAACTGGTTTATTGAGTTTAAACGTGGTTGCACTAATCTCACCGATAATCTGCGTGAGGGACGACTGAAGATAACATCAGTGTTGTGCACCATATGTGCGTAGAGACTGACAAAAGAGTGACTTATCAGCAGATTCGGACATGCTTAGGCATCGGTATGAGTTAAGTGCACAAAGTCCTCCATGGAAATTTAGCGGTCAGGAAGCTTTGTGCCCGGTGGATACCTCATAATTTGACAGAGGCCTAAAAACTCCATCGTATTGATTGGTGTCGTGAAATGGTTCAAAGATTTTACGGAGGTGGCTCAAATGCTGTGTTCGACATACTTAAGGGTGACGAAAGCTGAATTTATTGTTGTGATCCTGAAACTAAGAGAGAGTTTGCTGTCTGGGTGTTTCCTTACCGTAACAATTATTTTAGAGGATCGAAAAACAGTTACTGCAGAGTGGTACACTAACAATTGTGTGCCACTTGTCTTGAAAAAAGTTCGGGAGAAAGGACCTTGCAGTAGGATCCTCCTTCACCATGACAACGCCTCGTCGCACACCGCCAGGCAAACAATCGACTACTTGGTGACCTCAGGCGTGGAATTACTGAGTCACCCTATAGCCCCGACCTCACACCTTGCGATTTTTATTTATTTCTGATAATAAAAAAAAAAACTTGGAATACAAGATATTCGCAAACCGACCTTTATTTTTCCCGTGACCCCCCTGAAAAAAAAAAAAAAAGAGGAATACGTTTTATGGACGCCGAAGAAGCAGTAGCCCTTAGGGGTCTCTTCGATGGCATTTTGAAACGCATTTTGAAACGCGGGATGTTCGTCCTTAGGGACGAGTGGACAAAGTGCTTTTCTCAGTGGTTTCCTCGGATGCAGCGATGTATTGATGTAAACGACTATACTGTCAAACGAAGTAGTATGAAAATTAAATAGATAAAATGAAATCGGAGGAAACTGTACTGATAATCGTAATGTGTGCGCCAAGCGCTCAGTTTCTGTAATTTCTCATAAAAGTGTTTTGCTTTTCGATTTTTGGCGTTAATACACACACCAGAAATAAAGGACGTATCACTATCGATTCTTAAAAACTTATGCCAGTCTCTTATAAACGTATTCAATACCTGTAAATATGAGAATGAGCTAATCTTTTCCAGCCAATTTTTACACTAGGTCCTATGCTTTTCCGCCTCCTGTTTTTTTGCCTCTTGTTTTTTTATCAAAAATAATGCATCGTCTGTCGATGCCATCGCGAATGAAATTAATAAACTGCACAGTTTTACTTTAACGTCTCTGGACTATAAGTACATACGATTTAACTTTACAGTTTGACTGCATGGCCCCCATAATAGGTGTTTTTAATTCTCTTGTAATAATAGTCTAAGTATTATTTTACTGGGTATTTTTTTTCTCCGACTCCGTTACCACGTCCAAAGGAGGTTTTACCTTTAACGCCTTACAACAATACGGAAATTAATGGCGAGATGATTTGGAACTGGTTTTTCCCATTTTCGACAAAAAGGGTGGGGGGGGGGGGTCGTGACAAGACAACTATTATAATGGTTTATCGCTTGCTTCTAAAAGTTAGTGAAGGATGTAAGGCATTCAAACAAAAAGTAAAAACCAAACATATTTTTCCACTAAGACTTTCTGAAAATCATCATCATCATCATCATTACAGCCCTTCACAAGTCAACTGCTGAACGTAGGCCTCCCCCAAGCAATGCCACAAAGCACGGTCCTGAGCCACCTGCATCCATCGGCTTCCTGCATGTCTTACCAGGTCGTCACTCCATCTAGTGGGGGGTCGCCCTACACTACGCCTACCGGTACGAGGCTGCCACTCGAGAACCTTTCTTCCCCATCGGTTATCGGTTCTTCGAGCTATATGGCCGGCCCATTGCCACTTCAGCTTACTAATCCGTTAGGCTATATCGGTCACTCTGGATTTACTGCGGATATCCTCATTTCTGAGTCTATCACGCAGAGAAACACCGAGCATAGCCCTCTCCATAGCTCGCTGAGCGACTTTGAGCGTCCTCATACAGCCAGCAGCGAAGGACCACGTCTCAGATCCGTAAGTCATCACTGGCAACACGCACTGGTTGTACACTTTAGTTTTCAAAGATTGAGGTATACCTGACGAGAAGATTTGTCGTAATTTCCCGAACGCTGCCCAGCCGAGTTGAATCCGTCGATTGACCTCTCGGTCGAAGTTGGACTTACCTAGTCGGACTATTTGCCCCAGGTAAACGTACTCGTCAAAGACTTCGAGCATAGTGCTCCCAACAACTACCGGCATAGGTGTGACATGGACATTAAACATGATCTTTGTTTTGTCCATGTTCATCTTAAGACCTATCCGTTGGGAGACACTATTGACGTCAATGAGCATAGTGCTAAGGTCCTCCAGCGATTCTGCCATAAGGACTATATCGTCGGCAAATCGAAGGTGAGTGATGTACTCGCCATTGATGTTAATACCGTATCCTCTCCAGTCCAGTGGCTTGAAAACGTCTTCCAACGCAGCGGTGAAGAGTTTCGGGGATATAACGTCACCCTGTCTTACACCTCTCTGCAGTTGGATAGGTTTCGAACTCTGGTTCTGTACTCGGATAGCCCTACTGTACAAACACTTCAGCACTTCGATATACCGACAGCCAACTTGGCACCGCTGAAGGGACTGTAGCACCGCCCAAATTTCGACGGAATCAAAGGCTTTCTCATAGTCCACATACGCCAGGCAAAGTGGCAGATTGTACTCTTCGGTCTTCTGTACAATCTGCCGCAGGGTATGTATGTGGTCTATGGTACTGAAGCCTTTTCGGAAACCGGCTTGTTCGGGAGGCTGGAAGTCGTCGAGTCTGCGTGCGAGACGATTCATAATGACTCTCGAAAACAGCACGTAGACGCGGCTCAGAAGAGAGATCGGTCTGTAGTTCTTCAAGAGAGCGTTGTCGCCTTTCTTAAAAAACAAGACCACAGCACTTCTGCTCCACGCCTCCGGAGTAGTGCCACCATGGAGGACGGAATTGAAGAGCTTCTGAAGGACTTCAAGTACCGGTGTTCCACCCGCTTTCAGAAGCTCCGCTGTAATTCCATCCTCGCCTGGGGCCCTGCCGTTTTTAAGGTGCTGGAGAGCCATTCTAATCTCGCTCAGACTGACGTCCAGGATATCATCGGAATAGGATCTGAAAATGATCATAAAGAATGTAATTGTTAGTAAACTTCTTATTACTTAAGAATGTATTGTGTTTTTGAGTTATCTAACCGTAGTTTAAGTAGAAGTGTGCTGATCTCGTCTTTGACAGCTTAACACATATCGGTCGATGTTAGGAACGGTAGGAACCACCTAGGCATACTCGTATAACTGACCAAGGAGGAAAAATTATAAATATGTGAGCAAATGAATGCAAAATTAATTATTGCCACGAAGCAATTTCGTAACAGTTTTGCATATTATTATACCTGAGGGTTCAGATGATTTTTACGTGACGAAAAAAAAACTACAGCATTTAGAGTAGTGTACTAAAATGATACATAAATACGACGAGAGCAATCTTAATAGTCTATGGGTTCATAAAAGGCCACAAAGCTGTACAAATGGTCGTTGAATTGGATCATTTCGACAAATGCCAAGAAAGGTTCAAACTTTCTTCAGCACACCCAATATGCTCCTGTAAATTCGTTAGAGAACTGAAGAAACCTAGCAGATCAGTACGTTAAGAATTGCGTGGGCAGAGTTTTAAGAAAGTTCATGAAAGACCATCCCAAAAGCTGTGTGTTTGTGTGTACCTTTGTTAAAATCCAGAGACATATTTATGCATGTAGTAAATATAGTGAACATTTTATATAAATTACTTTAGAATATTGCTTACTTACAAAATAATACTTGAAAATCAAAGTATCCTTATGTATAACACAAGGAAACGTTGCTTTGGTACGATAGTTATTCTGTGAGCGATTTCAGCCATAGCAACAAACAGGGTAAAATATTATACGTTGTGTACGTGGATATACTGATGTGTTCACTCGTCCTAAGTCCAGCTCCGAACGATTTGACTTATATATCCACCCATGAGTAAAAAAAAAATATTTTAAAATTATGTGTGTTGAAATCAAGTATTTGAATCCAGGACACTAGACTGTGTCAACAGTCAAGGGTCTTCAGATTCAGGTACTTAACTTTGTACTTGCACATTCTAAATTAAAATGGTTATACGTTATGGCGTTTAATAGCATTTGCGCCTAGCGCTGTCGGACATCAAACGTGTGTGCTTTTAATTTACTAAATCAATTTACTTAATATATTTCTTTTTAGCATAGTATAATATGTTGAAGTGTGTTGTAATGTTGGCTTTTGGTAAGTTTTTTTAATGACATACGTTATTTTTTAATTAGTTTATACGAGATAAGTTTCAATAATTTTAAAAGTTATTTTTTATCTCAAATTTCTAATGTTAGTTCTACAAAAATTGATTTGGTATTGATTTGAAGTAACTCAGTAATGTTTAGAATTATTAGTTGAAACTAATATTTGTAGTAAATAATTTAATATTTCATGTGTAGTGCTTGCATGTTATTATTAGTTAACACATTTTTAAATTTTCCGTATTTCTTTTATTTATACTGCATGAACTATAACGAAATATTGTTTTAAATATATTCTGTAAATTACGTTGTTCAAGAAAAAAAAAACTGTGATATTATCTCAAATTTCCAATGTTGGTTCTACAAAAACTGATTTGGTATTGATTTGATGCAACTTAGTGATGTTTAAAATTATTAGTTAAAACTAATATTTGTAGTAAATAATTTAATATTTCATGTGCAGTGCTTGCATGTTATAATGATTTATTCAACCCAAAGTGTACCTATGTTTTATTATATAATTGAAATATTATTATAACTACTCTGCTTTAAAATCGTTTATTTATTATTGGTTAAAACATTTTGAAATTTTCCGCATTTCTTTTACTTATACCGCATGAACTATAAAGAAATATTGTTTTAAATATATTCTGTATATTATGTTGTAGATGACTGGCTGCAGTAATATGAATATTTAAAAATTAACACTAATTTATTCTATTGAAGAGAAAAAAGCTGTGATATTTCTATAAAATAAATGAAAGTATTTAGGCTTAAAAGTACCGCATACCTATCTACATTCGATTTAAAATTAAATGTGGATTCATTGTCACCATTGCGGACTAAGAAAGAATGCCTTGCTTAGTTAACAGTAAAATACCTTTTCTTATAGATAAGGGTGATAAATGAGCACACAGTCCACCTGATGATAAGTGGAAGCTGTGGCCCATAACAGCTACATTTATCCTCGATTAAGAATCAAAATGCAGATGCGCCATTATCACCCCTGAAGACTAAGATGGAATGCCTAGTTTCCAGGTTCTGAAATAAGGGTAAGTAAGTCCATAAGAAATACAGCAACTATAAGCTGCTACTTTACTCCGCGATTCTGTAACTATGGCGTATGTAGACTACAAGCAATCCTTTGAGTTGACTAGGAAAGTTGTCGGACTAAGTTCAACTGTAGGTGTGTAATTGGTCAATTGAAAATTTCAACTTGATTGGGGAGCGTTTGGGAAATTACGATACCACCTTGCTTAATATTCCCCAAAACCTGAAGTGAATATCAGTTTCCGTTTCGGTGTCAGTGGTAACTTATAAAACCGAAACGTGATCGTTCATTGTTGGTGTTATGAGGAAACTTGTAATCGCTCAGCGAGTCTCGGAGATAACTTTATTGCATAATAAATTGTAAGATCGTGCTTTATGACATACTTTGAATAATATCAATATTCATCAGTGAACTTGTGACAATTTGAAATAAAATAATTATTTAAATAAAATCTAAATATTATAAAATACTGCGATTGCCGACCTGCATAACAAGCGTGCTAACTATAAAAAATTTCCTCCCCATGAGGCAATTAGACTTTATAGGCTGGAATGAATGAATGAACAAATGAAATAATTTAATTAAAAAAGTTTCTCAGAAAAGGAAATATGCTTGTAATTTATTACTGCATATAAAATAGTTATTTGGAGAGTAAAATAAATTTGTAAAGAAAAGTTTTACGATTTAACGAAAAAAAAAAGAGAATATAATGGTTTTAATGAATAAAACGTTCTTTTTCTTTAATATGTTAAACCAAATATTGATGCTAAACAATATCTAAGCTTTAGTAAGAAATTAAAATAGACTAAAGATTTTAAGCAAACTAAATTATTTATTGAAGTTATTGTATAATTTTCAGCGCTAGTCGCGACATCTATCTGTCAACAGCCAGACTATTACCATGATCTGCATTTACCACACGATCCGCCGCTGTATCCAGTGTATCATGACGCCCCAGTCACTCAGTTCAGTTGCGCTGGACGAACCATAGGATATTATGCTGATGTAGAATCCGGGTGTCAGGTAAACATTATATATTTATAAATAGTATGTCAATGGACATTAAGGTGTTTTATGTCGTAAGTAGCCATATGATAATCAAATTTATCGTATTGCTTGTTTTTTGACCGTTGAGAAAATTTGCATTTCATCAATACATATTATCATGAGGCAATCTACTTAGGATTCAACTCTTGGACATTGGCCCTTTTCATGTTGATATCCCGTGGCTGTCGTAAGAGGCGACAGAGAGAAACAAATCAGGAGATAGGCAGCAGCATCTTCCTAATAACAACGCAGAATAATAAAAGAACATAATTGCCAATTTATGGGGGAGGGCTATGTACATCAGCAGACATAGGCCTCCACCGTAAATTGCCTGTGATGGATGATAGATGTTGATAACGTTAGCCGTAGTCATCATTTTGATGGATGAATATTGGCATTCAAAATGCCAGTTCAGATCTTAAAAATTTAAAGTTGCAGACGTATGCGTCTCACTGCTGGGCACAGGCCTCCGGGTTAAAAATTTGTTAAAACTATTTACTACATTTTTTGATTACCAAGAAATAGATGGGGTGCTTGATCACATGCCGCTACTCCATTTTTCGTTGCAAATGGCAACTTGACAGTTTACCGATTGATTGCTTGGAAGACAAATTACAACACACACATTGACAAATTATTTCAACTAGTCGGCAGTGTTTTGTAGACTTTCCTAGGATGTACTGTCCATTTATTGGTACAGTTAATGCATTTACTTCTTGCTTTACAAGATTCAATGATTTCGGTGTGTTTACAAGTGTTTGACAAATGCTTTAGCAAAGATATTAATAGTTACTTTGCAACCGTCCGCTCAAGTTAAATAAAATGATGTATCTTACCTAGTTTGAAGAGCACCTCCCGCCCTCCCTCAATAGCGTGCACTAATCCCGTCGCCACTAATCCTAATACCCCCACTCCCAATACCACTACTCTCAACACTACTATTTTAGCAAAGACATACCATCGATGATAATACGACACGTGTTTCGCCTCTACACGAGGCATCTTCAAGCGATGAAGACTCTATGGCGCGGCGGCTGACCGCTAAGTCAGTCTTAGTAACTATTAATATCTTTATTATAATGGATTTCATAAGTAAAGTAACGCCTGATTCTATCAAATGCTTTTGTTATCTTTCATAATGTTTACGGGAATTTAAGGAGAGAAAATTAAAAGAAATCACATATAGAGAATATGTTATCGCTTATTGAGATGAAGGAGTTATTGATCACCACATGTCTAATTATTCATAATAAATAGTTATAAATTGGTTAGCTTCTAACCATATTTAATATGACATATAAATTTAAAGCATTAAATTTACAGGCTTTCCACTTTTGCTGGCATCAGCGTGTAATTAGCACGAAGCTCTGTACAAATGGCACTCTTTTCAATGAACAATTTCAGGTACGTGCTTCTCTCAATCAAGTTACTGTTAGGACTTTAATATTTCATAATATTTTACTAAGAATATGAAAAATATAATATTCGTTAGATGATACTTGCCGCCAGTGCTATACAGTGCATATTTGATCTCATTTTCCTTTCTTATGTCCTAAAACCTCCCTAATTTCGGCCTAAAGTCCTGCACATGCGATGTTTTGGTCGTATTGATTTAGAAGAGTTGTGTTTAGAACCATCTAAATTAAAATGGGACAGAGTGGTGGCCGCCCCCACTGTGGACAAATAAGTCGCTACGTTTAATGACACTTTTCTCAAGCTTTATAATGTACATGCTTCAGTCTAGAGGGTGAAATTCAAGCGACCACCAGCTCCATGGATGACGAGAGGTGTTCGGATAGCCATGAGGCGTATGGACCGGGTTTTTCAACGTTTTAGAAAAGAGCGGAGTGATGGGAGATGGAACTTCTATAAAGATGCTAAGAATCAGTGCAATCAGATGATACGCAACGCTAAACGCCGATATATTCTTTATAACATAATTTCTTCTTTTTCTGCTGATATTTGGAAGTTCCTAGGGACTCTTGGAATCGGTAAACTGCCTCGTTTTGAGTTTCAGGGGACACTTGGTTTGAATGATATTAACAGTCATTTTGTTTCTCATACTCCTCTAGATCACCAAACCAAGTGTCATACTGTTGACTATTTAAATAGCTTACCTTGTTTAAATATCGATGCCTCCCATTTTTATCCAGTTACTTCGGATAAAATTAAAAAGATAATTCTTTCCATTGAGTCAAACGCTATGGGCTGCGATAACATCAGCCGCCGTATGATCATTTATATCCTTGATCATATTCTTCCAGTTATTTCCCATGTCATTAACTTTTTTTAGATTCCGGAATTTTGTAGCGCATGGCCTTCGTTAATCCCTTGTCGAAAAATTCCAATCCGACTTTACCCAATCACTTTAGACCTATATCCAAGTACTTGAAGCCTGTGTACATAGGCAACTATCTCTGTTTGTTTATATAAGAACAACTTATTAAGTCCTTTTCAGTCCGGCTTCACGCCCGGTCACAGCACTGTTTCCGTTCTTCTTAAGGCGACTGGTGACATTAGGGTGGGAATGGAGGACACTAAGGTCACTGTACTGGCTTTGGTTGACTTTTCGAACGCCTTCAATACCATCAGTCATGACATTCTATTTTCTATCCTTTCCCATTCCATGATTTCTTCCGAAGTACTGGACTGGTTCTCAATTTATCTTCAGGGACGTCAGCAGTCAGTCCGCATTGGTGAGTTTGCATCTAGTAGGTGTGACATAAATGCTGGTGTCCCCCAAGGCGGTATTCTGTCTCCATTGTTATTTTCAGTATTTATTAATCTTATTACTCACAATCTTCAGTGAGCGGATCATCTATATGCCGTTGTACGCTCAGACGAATGTTGACCGTGTGTTCACCGAGGTGGATATGATCAACAGGGACCTAAAATATATTAAGAGTTGGTGTGACAGATTCGTTTTAACTGTTAATCCATCCAAGTGTCAGGCAATAATACTAGGTAGCCATCGCACAATTAAAAAAGGAGACACTACAGCTCTACCCCCGATCATTTTCAACGGCTCTGTTTTGAAATTACGTTCTTCTGTTAGGGATCTTAGCTTTAAACATTGACTCCACTATGAGCTAGCATGCCCAAGGGAAACATGTTAGCCAGAAAGTCACCGGTACCTTACGGGCTATTTACCGCCTGAAAAACTTTCTTCCATCCGGGACCAAAGCATTAATTGTGCCATCCTTAATTCTTCCCTTGATTGATTACGGTGATGTGTGTTATTTCGACCTGAATGCAGGTCTTCTTGATAAATATGATTGACTTCTTAATAACTGCATTCTATTCATTTTCAATCTTCGTAAATATGATCATGTGTCTACTTATCGTTCCCAACTTAAGTACACTCACAACCCTATTCTACATTCTGATGTCTCCTACTCCCTTCTCTTACTTAACTTCTCATTTTCAGTACCTTTGCTAGCCATGACCGAAACCTGCGTTCTTCGAACAATCTTTTTACTAAAGTGTCCCTCTGATAAATCAGGCTTCCTGCATTCTTCTTCCCTGTACAGTCTGTTATCCTCTGGAACGCACTCCCTCTTGAAATTAGATCGGCTAATAATCGTTATGTATTCAAGAAGAAAAGTTCGCGAACTTTACTTAAATAAACTGGCAGAATAATCTCATTAGTAATATTTATTTATGTTTTATATAATTGTATAATGTATGGAATTTATTATTTTTATGTATATAATTTTTATATTATGCATTTATATCATTCGTTTTTATATTTATATACTTTAATTTACATACTTATCGTTTAGCGTTTCATATTTTTATCTCTGCATCACCCAAAGGTTGACTGGTAGAAAATGCCTCAGGCATTAAGTACAACGTACTGTGTGGAGTTTAAATAAATAAATAAATATATTTTTATCCTTTGTCTTTAGGAATACATGAAATAATCTAGGCGTTCCTTTTATAGCAGTTATGTTGATGCCAGCAGAAAACTGATACGTCCACAAGGAATAGACTGAACATATTTTTTTAAGTGGTTAAATTTTATATATATCCACATACTCAGAATATTGGAAAAATTACATTTCGAGCACGGCAAAGTTTCACGTTTAAAGTTTTTTTCATAACCTTTTTTCATGTCACATCATCAATAATTAATTTAATTACTTATTCGCTTAAAATTTATTTTAAAATTGATTTGAATTTGACATTCTATGCATTACAAACATTTTAATTTGACTCGAACTATTTTCTCGTCAGCGAAAGATGCCTAAATATTTGTCAACAGACAATGATATTTCAATACATATTATGCTAGTCATTGATTAAAGCGAACTGCTACTGTTACCATATTTTATTAAATATTTTTCATTAATTTATTAAATATTATTTAGTATTTGTTCTCTTGTTTTTCAGGTATGTGATCATTTTTACAATGTACGTTGCGGATCTCCATATGAAGACTTATAATGAATATTTTAATATACAGATGCAAAGTTGAAATTAATGGTATTATTTGACCACAGTTTATTAATATACAAAGGGTGTCAAAATAAAACAAAATTATTAATTTAGTAATTTAATATAAAACATTTTCACAGCACATAGTATTTATATTTCTTTTTAAAACTGTTATATTTGTGTAGTTGTATGAAATTTCTTACAACTATGGACACTATGTTATTAAGGGCTGATTTTTCAAACGTCAGATTAAAAGTTATTCTCTAAATAAGTTATAAGATGACTGAATATAAAAGTTAAATAATGTAACTATTTTATTCCGAGGAGGTAGTAAGTGTAATTTTTATTAAGTTTATGTTGTATTCTATAAATAAATTTTAACTGAGGATTGAAAAATTGGCCCATAAAGTTTTTCATTTCAATACAAAAATATTTAAAAAATTTAAAAAAAAATGTCTATGTCACACTATGTTGAGCTATTTACATTTAGTCTACATTCTGACCTCCAAGTTCTAACCATTTGAGATTTGATACGAGAAGAATCGGGTAACTAATAAAAACTGCAACACTATCAGCTAATAATTATTTGTTAACATTGAAAATTAATCACAAATTGGCATTCATTGACATAATTGTGTAAGCTTTGCAAGTTGGTGTCAATGTACATTTTTAATGTTTAATTCTTATTTTTAATCCCCGACGAAAAAGTGAGGTGCTATATGTTGTGTATATCCGTGTATCTATATACGGATGAACAAATTTAGATTTAGTTTTGTTTGTTATAATTTTTTGTGTAGTCAAATTCGAAGTATTTCTTAGACAGAGTATAAAGGTTACCAATTTAAAAATAGGTAAGTATTTAAAAATACGAAATAATGAAAATAAACACAAATTTAAACAAACGCACTGAAAAAGAAAAAAACCTTTATCTCATAGTTTTGTATGATTCCCTATCAAGTAAGTCCTTCTAATAAAGTATATTTCGTTCTACACTAGGCTAGGGACAGATTTTTGAAATATCAGAAAAAAATTCATATCATAAAATACAACACTAACAGAATAAATATTACAATTGTATGAAAAAAATATCATTTGTTTCACCTTTATAATCAGTCAGATTATAATTCATTTGATGGATAACTTTTATTTGATGATAGTAAAATCAATCCTTAGATTAAGAAACAAGACTTTCATACATTGAGTCCATTTTTAATCCTATTATTCTGTTTTTACTATGGTAACAGTGACAAAAACTGAGTATGTCAATTCACCTGTAAAACGTGGCAAATATGGAAATGATCAGACCTGTTATGACTTTTGGTAGATAGGCTGTAGCGAATGAATGCAAAATACAAGTATGAGATAGTTGTGATGTCATCCACTGCAGGCCATGATATTTTAGGCATTTCTCATAGTCGACACTGTGGCACCCATTGGCGAGACAGATTTTCTTACACCGCTACTGCAGTAAATATCTTTTTTAAAACATTGAATTGAAACCTGTCAGAGCTATAAAATGTATCAGCAAATTTTCATATTTGGAGGACGCTATTTCCATTTGGCAATATTATATTGGCAATGGCTTCATTATGTAAACGATAAATCGTTATGAATATAAAACGATAATGATAACGAATTTGGATGTGTTTCTTTTACGAGTATACATATTGGTTTGAATAAATCAACTTTTAGTTGTTTAATTTAAAAGTTGATAAATTTAATTTGATTATATACATAAAAATGTGTAATATCAGTTTCCTCCTCTTCCATTTGAAAGCTTAGAGACTTACTAAACTACCACTTAAGAATACATAGGAAATTGGACAAATTTCTTCAAAAACAACTAAAATAAGTTCAGTTGTAATTTATCAGTCTTGATATTAATATTTATTTTTCTTCTAAAACACTAAATAGAATCTTTACAAGGTACGTCATGTCCTGCAAAGAAAAATAACAATTCGGATGTTTTTTTTTTGGAGTTTATGGACCTTTAGGCCAAAACAATTCGGATGACGTAATTATAAATGTTGCCGCTTGTTACTCATGCCGCCTCTATTTTTTATTACCCTATATTTTTATACCCACCATTTTTTAATAAACAAACAACGAATGATATAATATGTGGAATGTGAAATAATCCGAGTTATTACATTTATTGCCCAAATGTAATAACTCGGATTACGTTTTATTTGCTTCAGTGTTGAATATTTCTTGTATGGAATTTGCCCAATATCGTTTGCCAACAAAACATTCTTAAAAATAAACATAACACGCATTGTTTACAACCTAATTAATACAACCATAGCGGTACACATCACAGTCAGTGCACTTATACTAAGTACATGAGCCGAATCAGGCTCGTCGTCCGGTATCTCATTATGATTCATGACTCTTGCCATTTCATCTAGAATTCTCTTCTCCTCTAAAGCAAGAGTCGTTGCCTCATTGATCGTATGCATCAGCGCGTAGTTGGTATATTTAGGTTCAGGCAAGCGAAGGTACAGTTTGTTGTTGGATACTACATAATATGAATTTTGTCCGTTTAAATTGTCAATACGTCCAGCTGTAAAATTATAAATTTATAATGCGTATACAATGTTATTTTAAATAGTATTTAAAATTTCTTTGCCTATTATAGTTTCAGAAAAACTAAGAAAAAAAGACGGAGTGCCGCTTACATTTGACTCACAATTATATTGCTAATAAAAATATGATTTTAGGAGTATATTTGTGTGTCCAGCAATTAACTTTTGCGGGCTGTTATAGGAAGAAATAAGAAAGATATTCGTATGTGTGAAGTATGTGTCAAGGAATTGAACGTGGTTTTAGCATTACTTAACACTTTCACTGTTCGATTTGCAGACACAAGTATGACAACAGCAATGACTCATATGTGGGTCACGGGAAACGTTTAAAATGTGCGTAGGGCTCCGTCTAGCTATTTTTGTTGGTCTGCGATTATAGTATGATTGTTATTGAGTAACTACGAGTATATAGGGATTCCCGATCTATTTATATATAGAATTCAATATTATATGTAGATTATATTAGTCATTTGAATGTTTGGATTTTTCTCCTTCTTTAATAGTCCATAAAACCTCACTGCTAGACATGGACATCACGTTATAGGAAGGATTTGTCTTTATCAACACATTCGCAGTACCAGACTTCTCGCAGCATTGACCTTGCTGCTCGGCGCGGCGTCGCGTCGGTTTGGGTACTCGTACGTTACGTCTAATTTAAGTGGGATGGTGTAGCATCATGTATGTAAAGTGTATCGGATTTTTTTAGAATTTCCCATAGTCGCCTCTTACGACACACAAATGAGGTAATACATTCTCTATATGTAGCTAAAACTCGTACATTCACATAAATTTGTACTAAAATATCTTAAATAATTCATTAATTATCAGGACGCAAACATTTACTTTATAAGATGGACTACTTGGTACAACTTCCCTAAATTATGTTTAGAGGATCTAATACAAAGGTTAAAAAAATCCAATAAAAAGAAAAAACCGACGTTAAAACCTAAAAAATAAAATATTTTCAAATTTGAAGTCGTTGCAATTTCATTAGTAAAGACTAACTAGTAGAATCATTAAAGTTTTTTCCTTTTAGGTATTTGAATCAGTTTTTACTATTTATTAAGAGTATCAAATAATAAATAATTTCAATTAATATCATAATATCAATGTCGTGTAAATAATTACAATAAAAACCTCATTCCTTATTTCGCCACACTCTTGAATTTTTCTCCAACATTAATATGCGACTATCCCTTAGTTATAAATTATTAAAAAAATTAATGATCAAAATCGATTAACATTTGACCAATATATCGCATACCATACGTACAAAAAAGCATACGGTCGAATTGTAAGCTGCCTACTTTTTCTGAAGTTGTCTAATAAATAAATAAACTTTAGTATGTATATTTTTATAGGATATGATGACAAATGAGCACACAGTCCACCTGATGGTAAGTGGTTGCTGTGGCCCACAGACATCTATATCTATCCTCGATTACGAATCAAAATGCAGATGCGTGGAATGCCTCGTTTCCAGTAAAAAGGGTCTCCGGTTCTCTACACTCACCATACGAAACACGGCACCATGTCTCTACCACGTAATATATATATATATATATATATATATATATATATATATATATATATATATTAAAAAATTAAAACTTATGAATTATTTAAAATAATGAAAATTGACAGTCTCACCATCGGGAAGGTTGAGAGATTTTAATGCTTTTGTCAGTATAGGGTCGTCGACGATTCGGTTATATTGCTGTATGAAATCGTGATATGTGTCCGTTTCTTTATCACAATAACCTTTAAAGTCATCTGTGTCGATACTCCAGACCATGAGACCGCCTAAGTTATATTCCATTGCTGTTCTACAATTATGGAAATAAAATTAGTAAGTTGAATTAATATGTGTACTACGTACCAAAAGAGACGCCTAGACCTGGTACTTAAAGTAACTGTGTCTTTTTTTATACAATAAGGCTGACAAACATACATACACAGGTAAGTGGATACTGTGGCATATAGATATCTTTGATTAAGAATCAAAATGCAGATGCGTTGTCACCCCCTGAGGACCAAGTTGGAATGCTTCGTTGCCAGTAAAAAGGGTCCCCGGTTTTCTACACTCACCATACGAAACATAGCAGCTTCTTAGTGCTGCTATTTCATGCTGGTATTATGTGAGAGCGTGGTCACAGTAATTTTATCTACAAAAATTACCATGGCGCGGTCCTTCCCCTGTCGACCCATTCGTGCTACAACTATAATATAGCTACAGCGTGGCTCTACCACGTATAAACATCTGTGCTGTGCGAATAAAAGGTACACTGTGCCTCCTTCCAAGTGTCCCTCATTACCTCACCGACGTTGTTCGGGGTGTTTGTTCTAGAACATAGTATATATTAATTCAGTTAATAATTATTTAGAAGCCGCGCGCAGTAGGTGGTTATAGGTCGATAGGCTAAT